GTTACTAATGTAACCTCAGTCCCAATGTAACCTGGGATAAGGGAAAGAGCGTTGCGTAAGCTGCCATGCTATAAGGCTGCACGCAAGTGATGTCATCATCCAGCTCAGTTCAGTCCTCTTTAAATAGTGTCTGTACAAAACGAAGAAAGCCAGAGTTTAGGCACTAAATAGGAAAAGGATCTGTCGCCTGCAGTTGATTTTCTAGATATTATCAAATGGCCAGAGTTTTGAGATTGCAGCTGACGTGAAGGACTATAATGTGGTAAGAGCTAGCTGAAGTGCTGAGAAGCTAAACCATTCAGGGCTTTATAAGTAACTAGCAAGATTTTTAATTGTATATGATGCTTAATAGGGAGCCAGTGTAGTGTTGACAGAACCGGGCTAATATGGTCATACTTCCTGGTTCTTGTAAGAACTCTAGCCGCTGAATTTTGAACCAGCTGGAGTTTGTTCATAAAGCATGCAGAACAACCAACCAATAGAGCATTACAATAATCTAACCTTGAGGTCATGAACACATTAACGTTTCTGCATTTGACAATGAAAGCATAGGTTGTAATTTAGATATATTTTTAAGATGGAATTTACAAGGGTAGCTTGTAACCTTGTGTACCTTGTGGTACTCCATACTGCACTTGTGAGCGATGTGATACCTCTTCATTCACTGCTACGAATTGATGACGGTCAGATAAGTATGATTTGAATCATGCCAATGCAATAATGCCAACATAATTTTCTAGTCTATTGAAAATAATATTGTGGTCGATAGTGTCAAAAGTAGCGCTAAGATCCAGTAGCACTAATAGAGAGATACAACCACAATCGAATGATAAGCAGGTCATTTGTAACTGTGATGAGAGCAGTCTCAGTACTATAGTACGGTCTAACTAATACCTGACTGGAAATCCTCACAGATACCATTTTTCTCTAGGAAGGTACATAGTTGTGAGGATACTGTCTTTTCTAGTATCTTTGACAGTATCTATATTATGATGGGTGAGTGGGGAGAGCCTGTTTAATGTTTTGATCGGAATGGAAGAGCTGTGTTTTGTCCCATGACTATGCCGCCTCACAGTCACCCAATCGCCCTGCAGCAGGGGCTCTGCAACAGGAACTGAACAATGTACAGGATTCACCAAGTTAGTTGCATCTAAAGCTATATCTAAGGCCCTCACATTCTTACTATCTTAACTTACACTGCTCCGTTACACTGCTCCTCCCCTCCCCCCAAAGAAGGGCAGGGAAAAAAAGAGTTCTGTTTCATTCTGTTCCGTCGTTGGCCCAAAGGCCAGCAGTACCCAAATTCACTATGAAAGAGTAGTTCCTTCAGTCTCGGGGTTACACTGGGTGCGGTCTGGCAGTGAGTGATATAATGCCTCCTCACTCCTAGCCTCCCCCCCCACGCCACATGCTAAGAGCTCGTGCTTCAGAGACACGTTGCTTCCTCATGCATCTCTGGCCACACCCTCGTGAGATCCATGGAGCCAGGTAAGTGCTATAATGCACTGACCACCCCTTCCTCAGGATGCAATGCTTCCAGGATTAGGGTCCAGCTCTCCTCGCTGCCCATCTGCAGGTACGTCTATTGTCCATTTGACGCCACTCACAAGGAGCCTGAGGTCTAGCTAATGCTTCCTAGCCCGTTCTGCTGGCTCATTCAGACAATCAGACACGGCTACGTTCGCCAGGTGCCCCCTCCCCCTCTTCGAGGGTTGGGCATATCAGTACAAGGTTCCCCCCTTCAGGCTTTCCCTGTATCTCCATGTCTTTACCAAAGTTACGGAGGCCACCCGTGCCCCGCTAAGGGAAGGGGGCATTCACACTCTCAACTCAATCTCGACGACTGGCTCTTTCTAGCTCGCTCTCAAGATCTGTTGTGCAGACAAAGGGACCTTGTGCTCCGTCACCTCAGTCAGCTGGGGCTTCAGGTCTGGGAAAAGAGCAAGCCTTCTCCTGTGCAGAGCATCTCTTTTCTCTGTATGGAGTTGGACTCAGTCAACATGATGACATGTCTCACAAACAAACATGCCCAGTCAGTGCTGAACTGCCTGAATGCATTCAGGAGGAAAACAGCGGTTCCACTGAAACAATTTCAGAGGCTCCTGGGGCATATGTCATCCACAGCTGTGGTAATGCCACTCAGATTGTTACATATGAGACTGCTTCAGCACTGGCTATTCGGCCGAGTCCCAAGATGGGCATGGCGCCATAGCACACTCAGCGTGTCCATTAAGCTGAGTTGTCACCAGACTTTCGGCTCTTGGTCAGACCTTTACTTTCTAAGGGCAGGAGTACCCTTAGAACAAGTGTCCAGCCATGTTGTTCTTATAACAAGACAGGCTGGGGTGCCATGCCTGCCATGCCCCATGCTTGGTGCCTGGGACGTTTTCATCTCAAGGTAACCCAACGCTGCATAAGAGCTGTGACACCTTGGAAAACCCCTCGCCTTTTTCAGTCAGGCATCCCGCTGGGACTGACCTAAAGCAGGAAGGTGTTTACGACAGATGCCTCCAACTCGGGGTTGGGGAACACTGTACGAGGGCAGACTGGTGTCCGGCTCCTGGTCAAACCGGGAGCAATGCTTGCACATCAACTGCCTCGAGATGATGGTGGTTTTTCTAGCCCTAAAAACTTTTCAGCTAGTCTTAAAGGGGCACCACTTCCTGGTCTGCTCGGACAACATGGCAGTGGTAGCCTTTATAAATCATCAAGGTAGTCTCAGGTCACACTCTCTTTACAGGATGGCTCAATGCCTCTTTTTTGGGCACAGTGCAACCTCCTCTCGCTGAGAGCAGTTCATGTGCTGGGCAGACTGAACCAAGGAGCAGACATGCTGTACACGGGCAATGTAGCACCAGGAGAACGAAGACTACATCCCCAAATGGTTCAAATGGTATGGTCTATCTTCGGGAGGGCAGAAGTGGACCTCTTTGCCTCAAAAGACAACGTTCACTGGCCAATTTACTTCTCAAGGCAGAGAGATGCAGGAAGTTTGTATGCCTTCCCCCCGATTGACCTGCTTCCTCAGGTCATCAGACAGGTCAGGAAAGTCAGGTGCTTGGTCCTCCTGGTGGCCCCACTCTGGAGGAATCAGACATGGTTCCCTGATTTAATTTAGCTGCTATAGGCAGCTCCTTGGCCAATCCTGTTGAGGAGGAACCTCCTCTCTCAAGTGAGAGAGATATGGTTTGGCATCCCCGGCTCAAACTGTGGAGCCTTCATCCGTGTCATCTGTGTCATCCGTGTTAACCTTTCTACAAGAGCTGCTAGATAAGGGGCACACTCCTTCCACGCTCAAAGTATACATGGCAGCCATTGCGGCGAATCTGGCTCTCATTGCTGGCCAGTCAGTTGGCAAAAATGACCTTGTCGTTAAGTTCCTGAGGGAAGCTCAAAGATTGAATCCGCTTCGGCCTCATACTGTGACGACTTGGGACTTGTCCATAGTCCTCAGGGCCCTACGAAGCCCTCCCTTTGAGCCGCTCCAGTCAGACGACTTTCGGCCCCTGTCACTTAAGACCGCCCTCCTTTTGGCTTTAATGTCGGTCTAGCAAGTGGGTGACATACAAGCACTGTCAGTAAATGCTTCATGCCTTGAGTTTGGGCCTAATGGCTATGTGCCTAAAGTGTTCTCCACTCCATTCAGAGCAGCTCTTTGTTTGCTTCGGTGGCCACTCTAAAGGACTGCCAGTCACAAAGCCGAGACTTTCTGGATAGTTGACTCTATAATCCTGGTTTACACCTCAGTGGGCTTACACCTATCGGAGTGAGGGCCCATTCCACCAGAGGAATTGCCTTCTCCTGGGCTTGGTCCAGCGGAGTTTCTACTAATGATATCTGTGCGGCTGCTGGCTGGTCTTCGCCGTCTACTTTCACCAGGTTTTATAACTTGGACATCCCTGCCCTTCAGGCATGGATTTTGTCTGCCTAATTTACCTAATCCCCTGTGTAAGTGTAGAAGGTCTTGTTATGTAGACCCCAGGCTGGTGGCTTGGGTCTCATAATTGCCTCATGCTTTTAGGAGCCCTCATAAGGGCACACAGGGGCTGGGCTCGCAGAGTGTCTTCATTCTGCACTTGCTTATAGCACAGCGATATTGGATACATTCCCCATAAGCATGTCAACGCAATGGGAGAGACCGTTCAAAAGCTAACACTCTAGTTACTAATGTAACCTCAGTCCCAATGTAACCTGGGATAAGGGAAAGAGCGTTGCGTAAGCTGCCATGCTATAAGGCTGCACGCAAGTCGATGACTATCACTATCAGTCAAAAGATTCTAATGAAGTGGCGCTCAGAGCTGACTTGTATAGCAGTCGGCCCCACCTATTTTGTCTGGCTGAACAGCCATTTGTTTGTGTAGCTAGTAGTTTCCCCATAAGTGTGTAAACGCAATGATCGTTCCCTTTCGTTCCCGATCTCAGATTACATTGGTAACTGGAGCGTTTTGTTACATTCAGCCGTTTTTCTGCACATTGAATATTACTGACAAATACAGATTTGATGGGAGAAACATACTAAGCTGGGAAACATGAATTTAATGTAACCTAATAAGAAAAACATAACCAACAATATGTGCCTATAAATGCCTTTATTTACATCATAGATAAATCGCATTGGGATGTTAGGGAACATGTGATGATTAAAATAGATTAAATCACTGTACCTTTTGGAATTATGTCATCAGACATTTAGGGCCTGATAACACTTTGCACTAGCGCAAACCCTCTTTTGGCATTAAAAAACTACTGTCAGGATTCACTAAAGACACACAGTGGAACATTAGTGATGAAAAGATGTGGATAAAGTTATTTTTGCAGCTGACCTTACTGCATATGCATTTTGTAGGAATTTCTCTTTCAGGCGTAAAATTTACGTTTTTACCTTAGTAAATCATGCAAGGTGATTTAGTCAGGTTTACAGTAGTCACTTTACTGGTATTTGCATCATTTTTTAACGTCTCATTATTAGCATGTCTAAACCCATTTTTCGCCTGTGTTAGATTACACACACCTGATGATAATCGGCTCTCCTCTGACCCTTCGCTCTTTTGCGTTGCTCTTGGTAGATTGAGTTGTTCATTATGGAAATGTGCCGGCTGTCCCTTCGTGTGAGTGTCCCAGGAATCACCATGTTATTACATATCATATAAACTTTGTTGAGATGGGAAGTGAGCTGAGAATGTCCACGGCTGAGAAAGACACCTAACAATGTAATGTCATCACATGTAAATATAATGTTTTTGTCTCAGTCAATTACAGGCTGATTCTCTTGAAACTCTGGCTTCAGTTCTTGGATCTTGCAGCCTCAGATCTCTGGATCTCAGTATGTGTGGCCTGACAGATTCTTCTGTGGAGCTGCTCTCTGCTGGACTGAGTAACCCTGACTGTAAACTGGAGATACTCAGGTGAGTCTGAACAGAAAAGATGAAAATAGACTAGAATAGTAACTAAAGGTGTGCTTTTGTGTTTTCATTAAAACAGTTTTATTGATCTGAAATATTTCACATATACAAGACTGCCACGATAGGTCATGGAACGGCACAAGGGAGAGAAAACACTTCTGTTTATCAAAGTGGATCCAGATATCAGTGAATGCTAGTATTCTCAATATTATTGAAATGTTAATGTCAAATTGACTAATTGGCATCTTATAACAAACATACATATATTTATAACTGCTCATTTATAACATCAATTTTGGCTAAAAAAGATAATTATTGTTAGATGAGAAGGGCATCGAGTCGACATTACAAAAAGTAGCTTTAAAATGAAATTGATTCAAAATTGCATAAATAATGATAATAAATTGGTACATAAAAAAAACTATATTAAAATATACATTTATTAAAAAATTAAAGACTTAATGAGTGAGTCATTCATTCAACTGATTAATTCAAACAGCTGATTCATTCAGAAGCAAAGTGAGTGGCCCTGTCAGGATCCGAACACCTCAGTCTCCACACACACAAGACATCACACAGACCAGAGAGTGCACGGCCCATCAAATAAATGCAGATTTTGAACAAGAAACTTCTTTCCAAAACATAAAAAAATCTTACTGACCTCAAACTTCTGAACGGTAGTGTATTTCAGCACTGTATGATGTAGGAATCAGTAAATATGAGCTTCTTTTCCCTGAAGGATGACACACTGCAGCATCACAGAAGCAGGAGCTGCTTGTTTGGCGAGGGCTCTCTCTTCCAACCCATCACACATGCGGGAAATAGACTTGAGCATCAATCCTGTTAAAGGCCCAGGATTTGACCAGCTCAGATCTGTTTTGGAAGATCCAGCAACCCGTTTAGAGAAATTAACGTGAGTCTAGCAAAATAGAAGATCTGTCTTTTTAATATTCTGGTAAAACATTATTAAAAAGAAACATTGTATCTGTTAATATTATTTAATGGACTTGAGCTAACATGAACAGTTTATTAAGAGTAACAACGATTAATAATGTATTGTTCATTGTTAGTTAACATTAGTTGATGCATTAACTAACATTAATTAATGAGACCTTATTATAAAGTGTTACCACATTTATTTATATTATAAATTAATTTCTCTTCAAATTTGACTCTTTAACTAACATTTACCGACAGTGTTGATGGCCTAGAGGAGCAACATGACATGGAAACTCTACAACAATGTTAGTCTGCTGTTTTCTTCTTAAATTTGATATTGAGAAATCAAACTGTGAGATCATAACACTTTATTTTAATTTTCAGATGCGTGCAGGCTGACTTGGGATCCAAACACCGCTTCTTCAAGTGTGCAGGTGTCAGAGGAAGATGAGGCTCTTGTGGAGCATCGCAGAAACCCAGAACCTGTTCCACATCATCCAGAAAGGTTCAAAGATCAAGACCAAATCATGAGTCTGGAAGGTCTTAGCAGCCGTCATTTCTTCCGGCTGGAGTGGTTTGGCAGGTGGGCCACTATTGGAATGGCCTATAAAGACATAAGCAGGAAGGGAAGTTCAGCAGCCTGTAGCATTGGACTTAATAATAAATCCTGGGGCATTTTGGTGAGCACTCCCTCTTCTCTTTTTAAAGCTCTTCATGGAGGAGTAGAGACGCAGCTTCCTAACTGCTCACCCTGGAGAGTCGGAGTCTATCTGGACTGGGCGGCAGGAACTCTGTCCTTTTACGACACCACACAAGACAAGGCTAAACTCATCCACACCTTCCATGCTAAGTTCACTCAGCCTCTCTTTCTGCTGGTCAGTATTAGTGCTGGAATTAAGATCTTACCAGACGTGCCTCCTCCTGTCTGTGTCCATGACCACGATCCCTGGGATATGTTCAGGGGCTACAAGGACTGTAAGGGATGTAACGGATCAAAGGCTTGCTAGATAAACCGATGTGCTCTCCTTTTGTGGAACATCTGATGATAGTGTTTGTATCCATGATAATTTGGATTTCAAGGACATATTAGAAAAGGATTCATTAAATGTACTTTGACAGAGAGAGAGAGCAGTCGATCCGCTAGAGGGAGACATTCTCTTATAAAACCTGATCTTAAAGAAAATGAACATTCTGTCATCATTTACTCACCCTCATGTCATTCCAGACCTGTATGACTGGCTTTCTTCTGTGGAACACAAAAGTAGAAATTTTACAGAATACAAACAGTTTTGGTTCCCACTGACTTCCACTGTATGGACAAAAAACACAATGAAAGTCAATGGGAACCAGAACTGTTTGGTTCCCAACATTCTTCAAAATGTCGTCTTCTGTGTTTCACAGAAAAAAGTAAGACATGCAGGTTTAGAGCGACATGAGGATGAGTAAATGATGACCGAATTATCATTCTTGGGTGAACTATCCCTTTAAGATCAACATTATTCAAAATATATTTCGCAGTATAAAGTCAGTCAATCAGGTTTGCAATAACATGAGAAAATTATGACAGCATTTTAATTTCATTCATCAACTGTCTCTTTAAGTACAGTGAGGTGGTTTTTACCACAGTGATCTAAAATGAATATTTTACTGGATACACTCTTAAAAATAAAGGTGCTTCAAAAGGTTCTTCAAGCGATGCCATAGAAGAACCATTTTTGGTTCCACAAAGAACCATTCAGTCAAAGGTTCTTTAAATAACCATCTCTTTCTTACCTTTTTGTAATCTGAAGAACCTTTTTTCACCACAAAGAACCTTTTGTGAAACAGAAAGGTTCTTCAGATGTTGAAGGTTCTTTATGGAACCATTTAGACAAAAAGGTTCTTCTATGGCATCGTGAAGCACCTTTATTTTTAAGAGTGTAGATAGCATTAATAACGCCAACCTACAACATATTTGCTGAATGAAATCCAATGCTTTATTTCAAACTTTTTGATTTTTACATTTTTTACATTTTCACATCTAACATGTATAATGATTCTGAAGATATTATTTTATGCCTAATCCTGATTTCCACTTTTCCACTCCTTTGTAGATTGTAAGCAGAGGTGGAAAAGTAACGAATTACATTTACTCGCGTTACTGTAATTGAGTAGCTTTTTTGTGTACTTCTACTTTTTAAAGTTTTTTTTTTTATCTGTAATTTTACTTTTACTTAAGTATATTTTGTTTGAAGTATTGTACTTCGCTACATTTTAAAACACGTTAATTACTGAGTTAAAAAAAATCGCTGCCCTGGAAACTACTGCAGTAAGCTAACTGGCGCTAAAATCACAAGAAAGATGCAAACGGACAAGACAGGCGTTAGTGGTGCAGACCCAGCTGAAAACAAAACCTTGTCGTATTCTGCTTAAGTTGAACTCGAAGGAAATGAAGTAAACCCCTGGTCATATTTAAGTTCTATTATGCAGTGTAAAGCTGTGTTTGCCTAGGAAGACCAAACTAGCAGCTTATAAAATCTTGAAATCAACCCTTCGCAAGCATGTAGAGGTAAGCTAAATACTTGCATCGTTGCATTGGTGGTTAAAATGAAGCTGACAGTTTAGCAAAAGGTTTTGCACAAATTAGCCAAAAAGACAGGGTGCAGGGTGTGCGATATATATCGTCTGGGATAATATCATAATTGTTGTTTTAGCGATTTGACACTATCAGTATTTTGGCAAAAACCAAACCAAACACTCCTACACAGAGTGCCGTGAAGTCTAGACTAACGTTAGTGCGCACGCATTTAGAGTGCGTTCTTTCACTGCGTGATTCAGTCTGTTAAAATGCATTTAGAATGAACACAAAATTGAAGATATAGGGGCAGAAAATTTATATATTTATATAATTTCGTATAGTAAATCAATATCACACAAAGAGTGTTTTTTCCCTCCAAAAATCAGCATGATTACATATAGATTTTTTTTGTTTGTTCAATAAACAAGAAGTTAATTAAGAGACTTGCATTTTAGACACCATATTGCCTGTTTTTGATCTATTTCGACAACAAAAATAATTCCAAACAGCCACCATAGCACAGTTTTGCATCTCTGAGCAATGATGGTGTTTCGTTCCTGGAGGAATCAACCGTTTAAATGATTCGGTTCAATCGCAATGACTCACTTGTTAACAGTGACTTGCTGCCACCTACTGGTGGTTTTAATTTGACATTTAAAGTATCTTTTGATTTTTTTTTATTTATTTATTTATTTTTTTCAAATGAGTATTCAACACTTTGTTCTCTGAGCAACATGAGGGCGTTTCGTTCCTGAATGAATCAACCGTTTAAATGATTCGGTTCAGTCGCAACGACTCACTTATTAACAGTGACTTGCTGCCACCTACTGGTGGTTTTAATTTGACATTTAAAGTATCTTTTGATTTTTTTTTATTTATTTATTTATTTTTTTCAAATGAGTATTCAACACTTTGTCTTATATATCAAAACATTATTTCTGCATTTGTAACTGCAGGTTAAATGCATTCATGTCCTGCATTAAACAGTGTGTAAAGACATCATAATGCCACTTCAGTTGAAGCTTTTGTGTTTCCTTTGCATTGCAAAGATTAATTTTGTTGATACTGATTTAATTTGCCTGGTAACAGCCCAAATGTCTTATTATTCTAAATAACTGATTCCTTTAATTAAAAACGACTAGTTTTAGATGTATAGGCCTATCCCAGGGGTGTCAAACTCAGTTACTGGAGGGCCGCAGCCCTGAAGAGTTTAGGTTCAACCCTGCTCCGACACACATACCATTTAGTTTTCAAATAAATCAAAATGATTAGATTAGCTGGATCAGATGTGTTTAATTAGGGTTATATCTAAACTGTGCAGGGCTGTGGCCCTCCAGGAACTGAGTTTGACACCCCTGTCCCAAAGTAATTTTTACTCTGAGTACATTTTAAACAAGCTACTTTCTACTTTTACTTGAGTAGATTTTTAGACTGGTACTTTTAGTTGTACTTAAGTAAAATTTCATTAATGTTGTTACAGAGGAGGCTCCCGTACAGCCTCCTCCGCACCACCAGAGGGAACTGTCCCCGGAATATTAGCGATCTCCCATTCGGACTCCATTTCCCATCATCCCTCATACCTGGGACTGATTACACAACCACACCTGCACCTCATTTGCACACTCACACACACACACACACACACACACACACACAGACACACACATATAAGCCACACCATCACACGGACTCTTTGCAAAGTCTTGATTTGCCCTGGCTGTCATTTCCGAGCGGTATACCCGTGTTTGTTTTCTGTGCGTCTGATCTTGGACTGTTTCCTGATTCTCTGATTGTTATCTGCCTGCCCCGACTTGGATTGTTTCACCTGGACTCTGATTTAGTGATGGGAAGTTCGGTTCTTTTCCGCGAACCGGTTCTTTCGGACAGTTCGATTCAATAAACCGGTTCACCGGTTCTTTTACGCTCGACGTAATTACATCATTGGCGATGACGTAATGGCGTTAAGTCTATCGCGGACTTAACACATTCAAATATAAAGTCAGTAAACATAACATCAGTCAATTAAAACATCATTATAATCTGGTACGTTTCTTACAATTTGGATTTTTGTATCTAAAGCATCAACACATATACAGGCAGTGATCTGCAAACTAGGATGTTTTACAGTTATGACGTCAATAAATTAGTCTTCATCAGCGCAGAAACTATGCTCCACTTACTATGTATAATCCATTACGGTTTATTTGTAATTAAGTAAACTTACGTTTCGCCGGATTGCCCTTCATTCAAGTCTTCGGTTTACCCGCGCTCATAACATTAGCACAGAATCAGTTGTCCAAAAGAACCAGTTCGGTTCAGACGTGCTGTCAGTCATAGCAGGCAATCTGTTCGGTAGCTTCATGCTGAATCGTGCATGCGCAGTATCATCAGCTCACCGGTTCTCAAATCGGACGCGTCCAAAAGAAACGGTTCTTGGTTGAGTGTACTGGTGATCCGAAAACCGATGCAACCGGTTCTTGACTCGAGAACGAGAACCAGCTCATCGGTTCTCAAATCGGACGTGTCCGAAAGAAACGGTTCTCGGTTCAGTGTACTGGTGATCCAAAAACCGATGCAACCGGTTCTTGACTCGAGAACGAGAACCGTTCCAGCAGTGGGCGTGTATGTTCGTTATCCGGCTGCTCTGCTCGTGTTCATCTTCAGTTCTCTCTTCACAGCAGTTCAGTCAGTGTACTGTTTGA